AAACCCTAAAGAATTTAATAAAGTTTTTGTATTTCATCTCAGGTACTGGCCACGCAGATGAAGCACTACACAGAGTCAAGGGACATTGACAACATCTCGCGCTTACAGGGGGAAGTCAGTGATGTGAAGGACATTTTAGTGAAGAATATTGGTGGGTTTGAGTGAATTGTGATTTATAATTTTTTTGTGGATTGTTTGGTTGTAAATTTTATCTGGACTGAATTTCTTTTACCCTATTTTCATATTTTTAGAAAGTTTGGCCAGTAGAGGAGAGAGACTGGAACTACTTATCAACAAGACGGAGAACCTCAATACGTCTGTAAGTATATATTCAGATCAATTATATATATATTTTTTTTCTTAATCTCCTTTGCCTTTAAACCTTGAAATGCAAAAAAAAAAAAAAAAAAAAAAAAAAAACTTTTTATCCTCTAAAGTGAATTTGTTTGTGTATTTGACATTAATGGTAATGAATTCCAAGTAAGCAAATGCTTTTGAACAGCTGTATTTCATTAGCCCATATACTGTAAACTTAGAACCTGGAAATTCTCAAACTCTGAATTGCTTTTATCATTTTGGAAACTGAACTACACAGTATTATTTTATATATCTAAGAAGTAGTTGAAATACTATAATTTTTGTATTTTAGTATTTTCTTCATCTTCAGCCATTATTGTGGTGGTGTAATAGTTTGACATTCAGTCTCTAGGCTGTAAACCTGTTTGCCAGTTGGTTTGACTCATCGAGGCAAGAGTTGTAGACGCAACTTTACAAAAAAAGAAAAAAAAAAGTTCTCTTATTTATCATCTTGAAATAGGACCCAAATACTTTGAACAAGAGAGCTTACTGTAAAGGATAAAAATTGTCAGATAATACATTTACTATGTCGGGTACATGCAGCACTAACTAACAATTTTTCTTTTTCCCTTTTTTCATGGCCAGTTTCAGTTTCTAAGTGTTTGTTTTATTTTTCAGGCAGTAACTTTTAAGACCACGAGTCGAACCTTGGCACGAAGCCTATGGTGGAAGAACGTGCGCATCATTTTATTCATAATCTTAGGTGTAGGGGTGAGTAGGTGTTCTAATTGAAGAGAGACAGACAGACAGACAGACAGACAGACAGACAGACAGACAGACAGACAGACAGACAGACAGACAGACAGAAAGACTGACTGAAGGAGATGGAGAGAGAAGAAGGGAGGGAGAGAGGGAGGGAAAGAGAGAAGGAGGGAGATAGAGAGGATGAGAGAGTGATAGAGGAGGAGGGGAGGGAAGGAGAGGAGGAGAGGGAGAGGGAGAGGGGGAGGGAAGGAAGGGAGAGGGGGAGGGAGGGAGAGGGGGAGGAGGGGAGGAGGGGAGAGGGAAGGAGAGGAGAGGGAGAGAGAAGGAGAGGGAGAGGAGAGGAAGGAGAGGAGAGGGAGAGGGAAGGAGAGGGAGAGGGAAGGAAAGGGAGAGGGAAGGAGAGGGAAGGAAGGAGAGGAGAGGAAAGAGAGGGAGAGGGAGAGGGAAGGAGAGGGAGAGGGAGAGGGAAGGAGAGGGAGAGGGAAGGAGAGGGAGAGGGGAGGGAAGGAGAGGGAGAGAGAGAGGGGGAGGGAAGAGAGGGAGAGGGAGAGGGAGAGGGAGAGGGAAGGAGAGGGAGGGGGGAGGGAAGGAGGGAGGGGAAGGAGAGGGAGAGGAGAGGGAGGAAGGAGAGGGAGAGGGAGAGGGGAGGGAGAGAGGGAGAGGGAGAGGAGGAGGGAGGGAGGGAGAGGAGAAGGAGAGGGAGAGGGAGAGGGAGAGGGAGAGGGAGAGGGAGAGGGAAGAGAGGGAAGGAGAGGAGGAGAGGGAGAGGGGAGAGGAGAGGGAAGGATAGGGAGAGGGAAGGAAGGAGAGAGAGAGAGAGGGAGAGAGAAGAGAGAGGGAGAGAGGGAGGAGAGAGAAGAAAGGGAGAAGGAGGGGGATGAGAGGGAGAAAGAGAAGGATAGGGAGGAGAGGGAGAGGAGGAGGGATGGAGATGGAGAGGATGGAGATGGAGGAGGATGGAGATGGAGGAGGATGGATGGAGAGGATGGAGATGAGGATGGAGATGGAGAGGATGGAGATGGAGGAGGATGGAGATGGAGGAGGATGGAGATGGAGAGGATGGAGAGAGAGAGAGAGAGAGAGAGAGAGAGAGAGAGAGAGAGAGAGAGAGAGAGAGAGAGAGAGAGAGAGAGAGAGAAGAGAGAGAGAGAGGTGAAGAGAGAGAGAGATGAGGAGAGGAGAGAGAGAAGGAGGGTGAGTGAGAGAGAGGAGGGTGAAGGAGAGGGTGAGAGAGGAGTGAAGGAGAGGGAGAGAGAGAAGGAGGGTGAAGGAGAGGGAGAGAGAGAAGGAGGGTGAGGAGAGGAGAGAGAGAGGAGGGAGAGGGAGAGAGAGAAGGAGCGTGAGGGTGAGGGCGAGGGAGATAAAGGGTGAGGGTGAAGGAGATAGAGGGTGAAGGTGAGGGTGAGGGAGATAGAGGGTGAGAGAGAGAGAGAAGAGAGTGAGAGAGAGTGTGTTGATATATATTGTAAGCTTATTTTTTAAGATAATTTCAAAATACAAACAATAGCAATCTTAAAAGTTTCATATGAAACAATCAACAAGTTAGATGCAAACTTACCAAAATTTTCTCTTTTTTTCTTTGCAGGCAAGCATCTATATAATCGGAGCTATGATCTGCGGTCTAGCATGGCAAAACTGCCCTGGACAGTAGAACAAAGTGTATAGAACGGCAAAGGTGTCGAAGTCACCAATTCCGCTGTTTTCACCATAAATATTGTCTCAAAACTTCTGTGTGGGAACACTACCCTATATTTAATAACATGCAGAAACCTTCACTTAAGTTTTTTGATATTTATAAAATGAACTTGTAATTCTCCATGTGAGAGGGTCTATCTACTACACCTACATAGAGTAATAACCATGCTCTTATTAACACACACACACACATGCGTTTTTATCTTGGCTGTCTTGATTATCCTTTTTATAACAGTAATGCCAATATTTTTCATACATGTCATGATCACTTTAATGTAGGATTTTTTTCTGAGGTATGATATAAAGTATATATTGAAGTCATATTTATACTCTTTAGGATATATTGTAAATTTATCCAGTATTATAGATTTTCATAGTTTTACTTAGATAGGATTCTTCATTCTTCTTGTTTGACCAAGCCCCAACTCTTGCACTAGCAAGATCTGTAGCTAGTAGAGTTTATAGTGTGTGCTTAGGGTATATATGTCTATACTGGTATGTGAGTGTACAGAGAGAATCTCAGAAGATGAGGGATCTTTATAGAAGGTGACCCTGATGTGCTCCATCAGACAAGTATGGATGTATGGATATCTGTTTGTGCATGTACTTCTCCTAGAATGCTGTTTGAGTGGCAACTGCAGTTCATTGATTACCTCTGGCTACATTGTTTTGATTAGGACGATTGTTAATGCCACGGTTGCTAGAATGAATTTCTTGTGTGAATACTGTTGTCCAAGTTTGGGACAAAAAGATAGATACAACATATATAATATTACAAAAGTAAAATGTATACTATGTCCAGAAGAATAATTTGTATATGTTTTTTTTTATGTGATCACAGCTATTGTAAATGTAAGTTTGAAAGGTTTCATAAATCTGGAAAAGATTTTGGTGTGCTGATTCATCAAGATATTTTCTGTTGGAAAATATATGTTGACTACATTTTAAAAACATTTAAGTGATTAGAATACATTTTCATTGTGCTGTGCATGCTTATATACTGCATTATCATATATATTTTTTTAAGTTATATTTTCTGTGATAGTGTCCATAACAGTTAACCTAGGATTTTACAATAAGCTTTACATATTGGATTTGAAAATAAACTTTACATTGAGTATATGATCACTTTAATTTTTTTTCTAATTCGCTTTTTTCTGTATCTGTGTCTGAAATTCTTTGTGTTTAATTTTCTATCAATATCACATTAGAAAATCTGAGCAACCACATTCAATCTCATAGATGCTGCAATAAGATTAATTTGTGTCTTATTGATTGAAAAGAATTCTTCCAGCAATTTTATAAATTAAGCATAACATTAAGAGAACCAAGTTATGAATTGCTGAATCTATACAACATGTGAAAGTAACCAGTAACTGAAATTCAGGAGCTCCAGATATGTCAAAAGATGATGTCAAGCACCGTCTGTCGAATGCTTCCCTTTTCATGCTTGTGTAATTTTACAGAATCCAGAAGCTGATTCCTAAAAGTGCCTTATTAAGATACATTGCAATTTATTCCAATAAGGATAGCTTATATACGCATTGAATTTAGTACGGATTATATAGTATATGCATTTCAGCACGATTCTTCCTCTACAATTTTCTTTTTTTCACCATGTACTTTGTGATATCTTTGGTCATGACATTGTGTGTATGCTGTAATTTTTTGTGTATATATAAGAATTTCTTGATTAAATGTGCTTCTTTATTCATCCTACTTATGTAATTTCTATTTATTTATTATCCAGCATAGTTTACACACACACACTCACTCACTCACTCACTCTCTCACTCTCTCACTCTCTCACTCTCTCTCTCTCTCTCTCTCTCTCTCTCTCTCTCTCTCTCTCTCTCTCTCTCTCTCTCTCTCTCTCTCTCTCTCTCTCTCTCTCTCTCTCTCTCTCTCTCATACACATAAAGATATACATATGTATATGTGTGTGTTTGTGTCTATTAGTGTCATATCTTTATACACAGCTGCTACAAGCACAAACCCACTGTTCTATACCCTCTGTTTCGCATACACAGGCAACCAGCGTCGTGGACTTCATCGTAAATATAACGAACCACACTTATTGATTGCGGGACGTCTACACTTGTCAAGAAAGATTGAGCTGAATATCGGCCTTGGTTCTTGCCCCCCATAGTCCGTTCTCTCGAGGCACACAAGCCAGGCCGTGACCCCCAATCCTAGCCTGGCCCTGTTGAGCCCAAGTCGGTACTAACACACTAGTGACTTTT